GATAATTACCCTAAGTTTAAATGTTGCGGTTAAAATGACTGCTGGTGGCCGTTCTAGTGTTAAAAGTGCATGATAAGGGAACTCAATTTTCTCCCCATGTTAGATCAAGAAAACGCTGGAAAAAATAACAATACACAGTTTTAGTTAAACGTTCAATGCAGTCAAACGCACTTTGTGAAAATCATGCCTCGTTCCAAACAGAGTCAAATGAACCAGCAGCAGCAACTGGTCCGGCTGTCTCCCAACCCCTAACAGTATATACATTATACAGTACTGAAGTAGTGCAGTATTACAGAGGACAAATTACGGGTGTGGACATGGGATGGAGTTCAATTGTCTGATTGACTTAAATATATGAGAATAATAGTCAAAATAACATAAAAGCGCACGATTTTATGTAAATTAATATGAAAAAAGTCTCAGCTGTGTTGGGGGCCCTGTCAAGATTCTTTTCATGGGGCCCAAAATCCTTAGCAGCGCCCCTGTATGTATGTCATACATATCTATATGTATGTAACAGTGGTTATATAGAATAAGGGGACACGCGCACTGCGTGCGTACGTTAGCGAGTTATGATGGTTGCGCAATTAATTTTTCCTTTTAAATAAGGGAACATCAGCGCTCTCGCTACGCTACCACGGCCAGGATGCTAATAATTTCAAGAATAACAGGCGAGCATTTAGCTTGATTAACTTAATCTGGTATTTTAACATTTTAATAAACCAACAAAGGCCAGATTAAGAATTTTTCATATCGTTACAACACTTTATTAGCACTAATTTAGCAATTAGGAACCGATTCCCCGGTTGCACGTCCCGTTGTGGCTGAGCGTGCATATAGCTAAGAGTGCACGTTCTGCAGCCATACCCTTTTGTGCGCTTTCAATCGACAGTCTCAGAAATGAGCTACCACGCCTTGAATCTCTGACGTAATTTCCTGTTTTAATTACAAAACGAGAAGAAAATTGCGAAGCGAGCAGAAAACTAAGAAGCGCGTGAGAAACGGTGAATCGGGCGCGAGGCTGCGAGAAGCGAGCGCGAAACGGTGAATCAAGCGCGAGGCTGCGAGAAGCGAGCGCTCTTATCTGCGTTCCAAAGGCGCAGTGCGCGCTCGTAGTGTCTGTTTTGCTCGGTTTATCTATGTGTCTGCGCTCTCGTATATTTGGCAGTGATCTCACTCCATACTGGGGATCGTCTCCGCAACCCGCGCGCCTTACGGTACTGCATGGGCTCTCACTGGGTGTAACTAAGATCATTAAGGGAAACCTTGCTTTCAGGCGAATATGGTGTATTAATGGTGTTCAGCATGTTAACGCTGTACGCTGCTCTTGCCGGACTCGCAGTCCTGCCGTTTCTCCTGTGTTCCTGGTTTCCTTACTTACTCCACGATTTAAGATTCTTCTTAGCNCCTCCGATGAAGCGATATCCCCAACCTGTAGGTCAAATATTACTTTGGAATCCCCGTCAGTGTACATCTATACGTCAGGCACAACAGGTAATAATAATTGTGGGATATACTTTGGACTGTACCTTTTAATAAAATCCTAACAACATTTTGGTTTATAGCATATTGTTATGAACATGCAACAGGAGTATCACAAAAAGGACTGCCCTATAATAAACACTGAATAGCCCTAGTATTCCAGCCGCTACAGTGTTTTAGGTGACAGGCTTTACATCTAATGGTCTAATTTACTTTATTGTAAAGCCCGGCTTTATGAATTTAAATAAATATGAAAGATGAACAGGAACATTCATGTGGCAGAAACATATTTTTTACACATATGTTATCTGGGATTTTCGGTCAAACTTAGCACATTGAGAATGTGCGCATCTACAGCAGAGGTCACATTGCACCTGAATAGAAAAGGACATTTTTAATAATATTCTAAAAGATTGCGGTATAAATACAAAAACAGAATTCTTTTAGAATTCTTCAGCTTGAAACATTTCTTTCATAAAGCAGATTAAGGATTACTATAGTTTAAATCAAATTTTGTTTCTTCAGTATGGTTTTATGTGTTTCAAGGACTTCCTAAGGCTGCAGTGTTAAGCCATGAGAGGGTCTGGCTGATGTCTTTTCTACAAAAATTAAATGGAGTGACCTCTGGCGATGTGATGTATGTTTATCTTCCTCTCTACCATTCCTCTGGATTCCTTATGGGACTTTGTGGTGCAATTGAAAGAGGTAAAGTGTGAAACCTGACCGACCCAGCAAAAAAGTAGGCAAGCATTTCAGC